GTAGTAACTGGAGATGCCAGAATTTGAGCCCTGTCTGGCTCTGAGGTCCCAGTTCTTTTTCCTATACCATGGACAGTATGTAGAGCCCTTTCTAAAATGCCTCGAGTCATCTTACTCCCCACTGGTGCTGACATTGGCTAGAGATTTTTGAGTGGATGAAGCCGACGTTTTGCTGAGATGGTGTTTGCAGCCCAGTCTCTCCCATATTTAGACCTCACCCAGCTCCCCCTGCTGCTTAGGATGCCCTGAAACATGGCCTGGGTCTTACCAGGCCTTGTGCCTCTGCCCACGGGTTACCTGCATCAGCCCTCCCCACCATCTCTGCCTGTCGAAACCTCACCCAGCGATGCAGAGTTGGCAGAGCTTCTGGGGATGATTTCCCAATTCTCCTCCACAGAGTTAACCTCCTCCACTTGGTCCTTGTGAAACTTGATTCCAGTACTTGATTCCATCACTGCCCTGTACTGGGGTAGCTTATTTAATGCTCTCCTTCTCTGTGGGCTCCCAACTCCAAGGGCTTAATCATCAGCTCCTGGGGCCCAGGACAGCACCCGTCACACAGTGGGGAACTCAGCCATGGAGAGTTGAATTCAGTGGATCAGGTGGAGCACGGGGTGAATTCAGGCCTCTAGGAATTAGCCTTAGGGCCCTCACTGTCTTAACTTGTTTGGGAGACCTTGGAGTGTCATAGAATAAAATCCACTACTGACATCTTCCCGTAGTCCATGTCACCTGTCACTCGGGGGCAGGGAAATTAAATTGGCATGGTGAGGCTGGCTCTTCACAATGCTCTCCTGATGGCTCTTAGCACAGTGCATCCGCCTGCAGGTGTCCAGGCTCTTCTAATCCTTAGTGGAGATGACTGATCAGGACCCTTTTTAAAAACAACAATGTAACTTCCGGTTGTAACCCTTGGAGGTTGCTGGCTGCAGGGTCTCAGCAGTGATGCCCTGAGGCTGGCTCTGTGGCACCTGTCAGCATCCCAGGAGCCATCATTTGTCCTTGCTGAGCTGGGGACAGCCTCTATCCAAGGGCTGTCCCACCATGTCTTTCTTCTGTGTTCTCTGGATGAGGTATTTATTATACTTCATTGATCAAAAGCTGCTTCTCTCCAGAAGGCTGGTCCTATTTTCCAAGAGTTGGTTTTGAGGGCAGTTTTTAACTGTTATATGTGATTGGACTTCAGTTTCATTGTTATGTATACTTAGCAGTTTAACATGAGTTTTGAAAATAACAACAGTTCTATCTTATTTGTGACAACTTGTGTGACTAATTAATGCTCCGCAGTGCACCGTGAAACTTGCAAGGTACCACATAAGCACCAAGTCATAACACATTTCTTGTTTGAAACTGTATTAGCAGATTGAACATCTGTATTACAGGAATACAGCGTATTAGTAAATCCAACAGCTTTTGTTGCTTCACCTTGTTAAGCAGGAAAATAATCCTTATGGCTTGTAAAGCTCCTGGAAGTTCTAGTAGGTGCCATTTTGGAAGTGAATTGAGTTGAATAAATGAAGGCAGATGTCAAGCATTTAATTGGCTCTTTGCTCCCAGCCGGCTCTATCAATTCTGGAACTGTTGTCAGAGATGATATAATTCACCCACGTGAAACTGACAAGGTGGGTTAGATGCTGTTGGTCTCTGGGGAGGAGGAGCTGGCTATGCAGAGTTAATGTAAAATACCTGGCTAATGCCACTTGTATTAGTCAGGGTTCTCTTAGATACACACACACACACACACACACACACATCTCCTATTAGTTCTGTTCTATATATATGTGTGAGTTTATTATTTATATATATGCATATATATATATATATATGTCAAGATATATATAAAGGGGACTTAATTAAGTATTAACTTACATGATCACAAGGTCCCACAATAGGCTGTCTGCAAGCTGAGGAGCAAGGAGAATCAGTCCAAGTCCCAAAACTGAAGAACTTGGAGTCCCATGTTTGAAGGCAGGAAGCATCCAAGCATGGGAGAAAGATGTAGGCTGGGATGCTAGGCCCCTCTCTACTTTTCATGTTTTTCTGCCTGCTTTATATTTGCTGGAAGCTGATTAGATTGTGCCCACCAGATTAAGGGTGGGTCTGCCTTCCCCAGCCCCTGACTCAAATGTTAGTCTCTTTTGTTGGTGACATCCTCACAGACACACCCAGGATTGATGCTCTGTATCCCTCAATCCAATCAAGTTGACACTTGCTATTAACCATCACACCACTGTAGCTTGGTCTTCACAGAGTTTTCTACTGAAGCTCCTCCAGTAGCAGAGAGGAATAGAGAGAAATGCTGTAGCAGCTGCCCCAGAGTGATCCACATTTGTTTTAAACTCTCGAGGCTTATGTGAAATGTTCAACGGCTTTTGTTTTCTACTCCATCACATTTTCCTCCAAATCTCCATCTAAAAAGGTCTGACTGGGAAGAGGCCTCTTTGGTGATTCTGTGGCTTCTGGAACCCTCAGGCTCAGATACTGGGCTTGAGAAGCAGATAGAAAAATGATGATCAAAGGGTATAAAAAAGACACCAGAAAACAACCAGAGTAACTTTGGTGTTTAAAATGTGATTCTTGTACATTTTAAAATAACTGAAAGAATAGAATCAGATTGTTTGTGACACAAAGGATGTAATGCTTGAGGGGAGAGATACACCATTTTTTTTTGTCTTTTCTCTTTTTTTGAGACAGAATCTCACTCTGTTGCCCAGTCTGGAGTGCAGTGGTGCAACCAGACTCACTGCAGCCTTAACCTCTAGGGCTCAAGTGATCCTCCAAGCTCAGCCTCTCAAGTATTTGGGATGACAGGCATGTGCTACCACACCCAGCTAATTCGTTGGTATTTTTTACAGAGATGGGACTTTGCCATGTTGCCCAGGCTGGTCTTGAACTCTTGGGCTCAAGCCATCCGCCCACCTCTTCCTTTCAAAGTGCTGGGATTACAGACCTAAGTGCCCAGCCGATACTATATTATTATGCATTGCATGACTGTATCAGAACATCTCAGTTATCCCGTAAGTATATACATTTACTATGTACCCATGAAAATTAAAAATAGGAAAAAATTAAAAAAGAAAAAAACGTAGTTTTTAAGCAAGGAAAGGAAGGTCACTAAGTGGAGACAAGGGGCAGAGACCATGATGGGATTTAGAGCGACCACTCAGTAGGGATGGATTGTCAGGGGAGAATTAGATGGTGATTGGGTGATGGGCTGTCTCAGCCATCGGTGGAGATGGTAGTGGTCTCACCCAGCTGGAATCTGGGGCTGGAACCAGGAGGATAGATTTTGGTATGAGGCAGCGGGAGGAACTGATGGAACATGGTGATGGCAGCATGAGGGGAGGAGGAGAAATCAACTCATTGATGAGTAGACTCTGAGCACTTCCCATGTGCCAGGCCCCATGCTGGGCATTTTTGTAGGGAGCCTCATGGCAACTTCCCAGCCACCTGGGGTGATTGGTTTGGGCAACTCCGATAAGGAGTGTGGGGCTTAGTGAAGTTGAAGTCGTGTCCAGGTCTCCCTTGCTGAGCAGCAGGGCCCATGTCTACCCTTGGAATGGTGCCAGGGCTGCTTCTGAGGCAGAGTCAGCAGGCCTTGGGGATGCTTGGGGTAGGGGACAGGGGAGGAGGGGAGATGTCCCTGCCCTTCTCCTGTGAATCTTAGCCCCAGGCCTTTCTCATCCAAAGACACCTCCTCCACCCTGTGTGATTCACCCCATTCTTAATGCCAGACCCATCTCCAGCCAGCTTAGAAGGAGCACTGACTTAGGAGTCCAGTGGCCCAGGGCTGAACCCCACCTCAACCCCTTCTAGCTGGCTGCCTGCAAGTCATTTCACCTGGCAGAGCCTCAGTCATCCTCCTTAGGAAAATGCTGGTAACAGTTTTGTGGTGAGAATGAAAGAAACTCATGTAAAAGAGGGCAGCACCTAGCCCAGCGCCACCGTGATGACTCAATACACAGGTATTAAGGCAGTTTGTTTAACGACCTTAGCCCATGTTGAATTTTGCTTAATTGGGGAAATTCTGGGCTGTGGAACATGGTTGGACTTTGATAAGTGTTTTTAACATGAAAAGAATTCTTCGGGCATGGTGGCTCACACCTGGAATCCCAGCACTTTGGGAGACCGAGGTAGGTGGATTACTTGAGGTCAGGAGTTCGAGACCAGCCTGGCCAACATGGTGAAACCCTGTTTCTACTAAAAATACAATAATTGACCAGGCGCAGTGGCTCACGCCTGTAATCCCAGCACTTTGGGAGACTGAATCAGGTGGATCACGAGGTTAAGAGTTCAAGATTAGCCTGACAAACATGGTGAAACCCCATCTCTACTAAAATGATAAAAATTAGCTGGGCGTAGTGGTGCATGTCTGTAATCCCAGCTATGTAGGAGGCTGCATCAGATGAATTGCTTGACCCTGGGAGGCAGAGATTTCAGTGAGCCAAGATTGCACCACTGCACTCCAGCTCGGGTGACAGAGTGAGATTCTTGTCTCAAGAAACAAAAAACAAACTAATATAAAACAACAATTAGCAGGGTGTGGTGGCTCACGCCTTTAGTCCCAGCTACCCAGCTACTCAGGAGGGTGAGGCAGGAGAGTTGCTTGAACCTGGCAGGCAGAGCTCGCAGTGAGCCAAGATTGCGCCACTGCACTCCAGCCTGGGCAACAGAATGAGACTCTGACTCAAAAAAAAAAAAAATGTAATTCTTACTCACTGGATTTGTCCATATTGGTGTGTATCCTGCTGTGCCCCAAATATTGCGACATGTCCTGTTTTGGAATCAACAACAGCCCACCTCTGAAACATCTATGAAGTCCTCTTGATGTGAGAGTGGTCACTCTTTGTTGGTCAGTAAATTCAGCTCTAAAAATATCACCTGCTTTCCCCACAAATCATCTTCCCTTTGCACCTTATCAGTGGCTTTGTGCTGTGAAGCTGCCCATCTGTTGGCCGGTTTGCTGTGTGCACATTATCATCTCTTGGCTTCTTTTCTAGTTGTGGCTGTTTACATAAAGGAATCCTGGTGGTCCACGGAAGATGCAATAAGAACCTCTGATCCGGCAAGAGAAGGGCTGATGAAGGTGAGTCAATGCAATTTTAAATGAACATTGCAAAAGAGGTTTTAAAAGTCACAGCGCTTACTACCGTGTTGATAATTTAAAGCAGTTTAGCCTATGTCTTCGTTTCCTAATACCACAGAGTACTACAAAACAGAAACACATTGTCTCACAGTTCTGGAGACTGTGAAGTCTGAAATCAAGCAAGCCACAGAGTTTTTCTTTTCAGAGCTGGAAAGGAGAATCTGTTCCTGGCTTCTCTGCTACCTTCTAGTAGCCTCAGGGGTTTCTTGGTTTGTAGATGACCTTCTCCTTGTATTTCCACATTGTTCTTTCTATGTCTGTCTCTGTTAAAATCTTCCTTTTTTTTTTTTTTTTTTTGAGACAGGGTTTCATCATGTTGGTCAGGCTGGTCTCAAACTCCTGACCTCAGGGGATCCGCCCAGCCTCCCAAAGTGTTGGGATTACAGGCATGAGCCACTGTGCCCAGCCTAAAATCCTCCATTTTTATAAGGACATCAGTCATATTGGATTAGAGACCAACTTAATCCCCTCATCTTGATTAATCAGTTGACTCTGTTTCCAAATAAGGTCACGTTCACACAACTGGGGGTTAGGATGTCAACAGCTTTTTGAGAGTGACAGTTCACTCCATTACACCCTGCTACCAAGGAAAACAGCACTCAATGCTATGTACAACAGATATCTGGCTATTGATAAGTCTATTTTACTTTACTGAGTGGCCCCTCATGCCTACATTTGAAAACTTTAATACACACTATCTGTCTGTTGTATGGGAAACTTCTGCTTAGTGCATTCAGGTAGCGTTTACTGGCACTTAGCATGAGTTAGAATTGTAGATATTATCCTGTATGTTACCTGAGACTCTATAGGAATTATCTGATTTCAGAACCTTCAAGGTATTTGTTTTGTAAGATGAACACATTGAAGCCGAGTCACATAGCCAGTAAGTGATTTAGCTGGGTACAAACATCTGTCTCCTTGACATCAGGCCTGGTGATCTTTGAAGAGCTGTGCCTCTGGTGAGCAGTTGTAAAGCAGAGCCCTGGGATGGCAGGCATGAAGGCAGGAGCGAGCGCAGCTTCTCGGAGGTCCAGGCGGAGTCCTCTTGGCTGAATTTTGGCTGGGGAAGAGGCTGAGGAAGGAGCTAGTACCCAGCTGAGAGTTTGGACTGTGTGCCTCACATCTGCCCATTTTCATTTGATTGGTATATTTATCTTAATTCCATATGTGGGAAGAAGGATGTTGCTTCCTTGCTGTCCTGAAATGTGTGATCTTGTTCCCAGTTGTCTGGGGTCCCATTCAGTCCCCTGCATAGAGCCCTGTAAATACTGAATGAAATATCAGTGTTCTTTCAGGTTCAGTATGGAGAATGGCTAAGAAACAAAATACAATTAAAAGATAAAAAAAAGTCAGGACCTAAAGTCCTACAGACAGAGAGGGGAAATAGTCCCAGGCACAACACTTCAAAGATCCCCGGCCTGCTGTCAAAGAGATGGAAGTTTGTACCCAGCTGCATCACTTACTGGCTGCGTGACTCAGCCTTGATGTCTTCATCTATACAACAAATACCTCGAAGGTTCTGAAGTTAGGTAATCCCTGTAAGGGGTCTGGTCTCAGGTAACATTCCCAAGTTGGTAATCCAGGTTTTCTTTCTTTCCTTCCTTCCTTCCTTCCTTCCTTCCTTCCTTCCTTCCTTCCTTCCTTCCTTCCTTCCTTCCTTCTTTCTTTCTCTCTCTCTTTCTTTCTTTCTTTCGCTGAGCATATAAAAAAAATTAGTTCTTGATTTTTTTTTCTAAAAAAGAGCTTCATCAGGATAGAATTCACACATCATAAGCTCCATTCTTTTAAATTATACAATGCAGTGACTTTTAATATATTCACAAAGTTCCATCGCAGTCACCATTAATGCCAGAACATTTTCATCATTTTAAAAAGAAGCTCTCTACCCGTTAGCATCACTCCCCATTCCTGTCTTTCCCCAGTCCCTGGAAACCACGAATCTGCTTTCTGTCTCTATGGATTTGCCTATTCAAGCTATTTCCTATGGAATCATAAAACAGGTAGTCTTTTGTAAACAGCCTCTTTACCTTGGCATGATCTTTTCAGAGTTCATCCGTTGTAGTGTGCCTCAGTACTTCATTCCTTTTTTGGGCTGAATAATAGTCCATTGTGTGGATATGCCACATATCATTTATCCATTTTTCAGTTGATAGACATTTGAGTTGTATCTACTTTTGACTCTGTTTAATAATACTTCTATGAGCATTGGTATGTAAGTTTTTGTGAGGATACATATTTTCAGGTCTCTTGGGTGTATGTCTAGAAGTGGCATTACTGGTCATGTGGTAACTCTATGTTTCATATATTGAAGAACTGCTGAACTGCCTTCCCACAGCTGCACCATTCTGCATTCTCAACAGCAGTGTCTGAGGGTTTCGGTGACTCCGTATCCTCGCCAACACTTGTTATTGTCGTTTTAATGTTCTCCATCCTAGTAGCTGTGAAGTGGAATCTCACTGTGCTTTGGTTTGCATTTCAGTAATGGCTCAGCATGGTGAGCATCTTTTCATATCCATATTCGCCATCTATAGCTCCTCTTCGGGAAAATGTCTATGAACATTCTCGCCCCACTTTTTAATTGGGTTATTTGACTTTTTACTATTGAGTTGTGAGAGTTTTTCATATGCAGTATTCTAGACACTGGTTCTTTATCACATATATGATTGGCAATTATTTTTTTCCCATTCTGTGAGTTTTCTTTTTTAGGTCTTGTTTTAATTGATTCAGTAGATATTATTATTATTATTATTATTTGAGACAGAGTCTCGCTCTGTTGCCAGGCGCCAGGCTGGAGTGCAGTGGCACAATCTCAGCACACTGCAACCTCCACTTCCTGGGTTCAAGCAATTCTCCTGCCTCAGCCTCCCAGGTAGCTGGGACTACAGGCACACACCACCACACCCAACTAATTTTTGTATTTTTAGTAGAGACAAGCTTTCACCATATTGGCCAGGATGGTCTCCATCTCTTGATCTCGTGATCCGCCTGTCTCGGCCTCCCAAAGTGCTGGGATTACAGGCTTGAGCCACCGCGCCCGGCCTAGATATTATTTTGAAAGGGTTTTCTTTCAGCACATTAGAAATGGCCTGAGATTCAGCAGATGAGAATGATGTGCCCAGTGTAGTGCCTGGCATCTCAGTTTGCATTGCTGCCCCAGCTCTGGTGCTTCAGGTGGACCAGGGGCTGCTTAATGATTGACTGTTTTGAATACTACAAAGAATGTGAATGGCTCTTTAAATAATTTTTTTGGAACAAGAGTTGTTACTCCCTTCATTTGTCATCTCTTCTAATTCTAAATGAGAAAAACCCCACATTTTCTGACAATGTGGCCTATATTACGAACAGAAAGAAACTTGGGTGTTATTTCCACGTAATGAACCATATTGTAAAGAGCTATCCTTTCCCAGCTGCACATGGGAATATTTCCCCTCTCTGTAGGACTTTAGGTCTTGACTTTTTTTCTTCTTCTTTTAATTACATTTTGTTTCCTGGCCAGCTCTCTTCTTCACAAATTACTAAAAAAACCCCACAAGATTTCTTCATGTTTTTCCTGTTAACATAATTAGTGGTCCTAACGAGGGATGTGAACTGGATCTTAGTTTTGTGTTTTCAGAAACATTTCTGAGTCAAAATCACATGTCACACATTTTCCTCCCCCATCATGAAATTGGACAAATTAAGTACATTTTCTTTTTCTCCTGCCAGTTTTTGATTGGATATTTCCCTTCTGCCAGATGCAATCTGCTTTTGTCTTCTGGCTTTCTTCTGAACTTTTTGGTTTTACAAGTTGAAAAATATAACCTCCCCCGTGACACCGATCTGGTTTTGCGACTAGCTAGTTTTTCTTAACGTCTGAACTTGATTTGGCTGCCGCTGTCTGAGATACAAAATGTGATGGCTTCTCAGAGCCAAGCTAGTGTGGTTTTCACAAATCTTTTTCTCATTTAAGATTTAGCTCCAGATGAAGGTGAAATATTTTACATTCTGGCCAATTTGTAAGATTACTGGCACTGAACACTTTGTGCCATTTGCTGGATGCTGCAAACTGCCTTATTTTTATTATCAGATCATTTGAAAAACATGCAAGCATTTTAGATACAATACTCCCTTGACCGGAGAGAGGAACTGAGACTCAAAGAGGTTGTGAGTTGCTGAAGATCTCCCAGCAGATCCAGAGTAACAGCCCACAAACCACGAGTGATGATGGTGATCATCACCATCTAAGGGTCAAATATCAAATATAAAATGAAATATTAATATTTGTATTAAACTTCCCCTTTCCCCAAATCTCATTTCTAATGGATGAATATGAAGAATCAAAGCACGGGCTGGACTGGAAAGCCGCAGCCTGTTGTTTTGTGCCTGTCTCTGAGAGACCCCTTGCTCAGCTGTCTCAAGTCCTCTTTGAAATGAGGCAGGGAGCCAGGCGTGGTAGCTCATGCCTATAATCCTAGCACTTTAGGAGGCCGAGGCGTGTGGATCACGAGGTCAAGAGATCGAGACCATCCTGGTCAACAAGGTGAAACCCCGTCTCTACTAAAAATAAAAAAATTAGCTGGGCATGGTAGTGTGCGCCTGTAGTCCCAGCTACTTGGGAGGCTGAGGCAGGAGAATTGCTTGAACCCAGAAGGCGGAGGTTGCGGTGAGCCGAGATCGTGCCATTGTACTCTAGTCTGGGTAACAACGGTGAAACTCCATCTCAAAAAAAAAAAAAAAATGAGGCAGGGAAATCAATAAAGGTAATCACCCTCTTTGAGGTTCAATTTCCCCACCTATGAACCAGGGCCTCCCCAGCAGGTGGCGAGACTCAAATGGTAGTTTGTGGGTGGATGTCATGGGCCAGTTAGTGGCATTGTTGATCTGGAGGAAATGCATAGGATGGAGTGACAAATGCACAGACATGCAGAGGCTGTCACCTACACACACAGAGATTGTCACCTAGCAGTGTTACAGAGTAAACTCCAATACAGCAGCATTGTCACTTTGTAAATAGCTGATTGGTTTCATCTCGTGCCACATTTGAGCGGTTGCTCATGGCTGTCTGGAGGGCAGTGTTAAGGAGGCTTCTGAGACTGTGTCCATGCTTAGCTGGACAGACAGGTCTGCTCTGAATCCAGGAGTGGGAGGTGTTCGCGTCTGCCACCTATTTGCCATCCGTGGGCTACACAAATGCAGAGCATTTTAACAGGCAGGAGCGTGAAGTCATTTTGACTTGTGAAGGGGAAAGCTTCTAACTGTGTGGGCCTGACTTTGACCACAATACGATTTCCTCACTTGTGATGACTTTGCTACAGGCAAGAGACCGTTCTATCTTACAGCCTTAGAACGAGATGTGCTCTGAGTCCCAGTAACTCTCTGGGATTGGGACGACCGTGTGTGCTCCAAATCTGTCACAAGCCATTGAAGATCGCTTGCTTTTGGTGTAGCAATTGATCTCCCACATTATTTACCCTCCTTCTGAGGGCCAGAATTCTGGGACCTGCCATCATGAAAATGGCAGATTGGGTTTATTTTAGGACACATCTAGCCAGTCAGTTGAAATGGGTTGCTGTGGCTCCTCTAGTTTAATTTCCTGTTTCCTGTTTTGTTGCTGTGTGATGGATTGTGCTTTGTGGTCTCACATTCCTGGTCTGTGGCCCTAGGGACCCAGGGGCCGCCTCTGGCATCATTCCCTGCTCCTGGAGGCTGCAGGCTGTGAAAGGCCAGTGATGTGGGAGCCTCTGTGAGTGGCTGTGATTCACGTGTTGGCTCTTTGAGCACGAAAGGAATCTGCGATGGAGGAGCTCACACCTGGCCCCGACATGTGGGTCACATCCAAGCACAGAATTTATTGCGTCTGATTTTCCTCTCTGGTCTTACTTGATTGTTGTTGTTCTTTTTCTTTCTTTTTTTTTTTTCTTCAAAGGTTCAGTCATTTGGGGAAAGGATTGTGCTTTTCATTCTAAACGTCATAATTTTTGGAAGATTGGAGAGAAATTTGGATGACGATGACATGTTTTTTCTACCTCACTCCGTGAAGGAGCAAGCTAAAATCCTGTGGAGACATGGAGCGGCTGTTGGGTTTTACACAACCAAGATGAAAGGTGAGGGGTGCACAGCCACTACTTCAGGCTGGGCTCAGTGGGGCTCTCCAGGGGTCTGTCTGCCCCAGAGGGCTCCCTTAGCATCGGCTAAGTGGAGAGAATCTTCTAGCACAGGAAGTATCATGGATTAAGTTGGGTGTAAATAAACCCCATGTATGGGTTCTGTTTCCACCAGATATTTTGTCTTAGGGGCAAACACGTGAAAAGCATGTCCCTTTGATTTCCAGGTAGCGCCACGTCCTTCCAGAAAAGAACTCATTGCAGTTAATAGTATAAAATTCCATTTCTTTCCTTCAGTGTTACTCGCTAGTTGTCAGGAAAAATACCATTGCTAGTAGCTGACTCATGGAGCAAAAGCACCTTGGATGCCAAGATTTATAAACATGACCTCAGAAGAAAGGGAGTCCAGGCATGATAGCAAGGTTAGGGTGAAGTCTGACTTGAAGGGCAGCGATCAAAGCTAAGTGTGAGACCCGTACCATTTTGCTAAAGGGATGTGCCGCTTCTTTTTTTTTTTTTTTCTTGATTGATGTCACCCAGGCTGGAATGCAGTGGCATGATCATGGCTCACTGCAGCCTCAACTTCACTGGATTCAGGTGATCCTGCCACTTCAGCCTCCTGAGTAGCTGTGTCTGGCTAATTTTTGTATTATTTTGTAGGGACAGGGTTTTGCCATGTTGCCCAGGCTGGTCTTGAACTTCTGAGCTTAAGTCATCTGCCTGCTTCAACCTCCCAAAGTGCTGGGATTACAGGTGTGTGCTACTATGCGTGGCCACTGGTCTTCTTTAAACTTGCTTTCTTTCATTCATTTTTTTTCTTTCTTTCTTCTTTTTTTTTCTGAGATGGGATCTCACTTTGTCACCCAGGCTGGAGTGCAGTGGTGTGATCATAGCTCACTGCTGCCTCAAATTCTTGGGCTCAAGTGATCCTCCTGCCTCAGCCTCCCAAAGTGCTGGGATTGCAGGCATGAGCCACCACACCTGGCCTCTTTCTTTAATTTTTGCAGTCTGTCAACATCTCTCACGTAACTAATTCCAGCCCTATCATTTGGCAGTCAAAAAGTTCTCAATTTTAGCAAAAATTAATCTTGTCAGTAAACTGCCATGGATGTACTATGAGTTAAGTGTTTTTCTCAGGTGTTTTTCTCTTTAGAGGCTGAGTTTTGTTCTGAGCCATGTCAACATTGTGTGTGTGCTTGACCTCTCCAGGATGAGATAAATGTGTGTTTCCCACTTTTCTGATTTTCCTCAGTGAGATACAGCAGTTTCTCACCCAAACTACTTCTGCATTTCTTGGTTATTTGCAAAGTCAGTCGTAACTTTTTAGCCCCTGTGTCTTTCAGCTCCGTTCCTTGTGAATGCCTTTGCCCTTAGATTTTGATGCCCTTTCACTTTTTTGAATGGTCACATTCTTTCACCATTTAAGATAGACCAAGGGGCCTAGAGAAAAATTAAAATGCAAAGGAGGCTGTTTGAATTCCTCTTTTCTGGGAGACTCCTTAGTGGTCATTTTCTATGAAATGGCTGTTTTTGAATCTGTAACGGAATCATTTGTGGTGCAGACATCCTACTAATAGTAACAAAAACTGTTAAAAGATTCCAGCTCAATGTGTGAAACCACAGGTAGGCGGCAGAGGGAGGTTGACCTTGGTCTTGCCTGGTCCTGCTGCTACTCTTGAAGGCAGTTACCAAGGCTTCTGATTCTGAGGAGGGGTGCAGGGGTTGTCTGCAACTGCCATGCTCTTACCCAGGCAGATTCAGAGCCTTGGAGCAGATAAAGTACGTAAAGATGCTGAGCTGAGGCAGTTCAGACCAGGTGCTTGAATTCTGCCGCTTCATTTTTGATGCATCCCACAAATTCAGTGAAACGTCCCCTGAAGCTGTTTGTGAGATCACATTATTTTCATCAAGGAACTGGTTTTTGAAGTGGCAATGGACTGTTAGTTACTCAGTAATTTAGTGGTTTTAAAAAGTGTCAAATGGCAGAGTATGGTGGCTCATGCCTGTCGTTCCAGCACTTCGGGAGGCCAAGATGGGCAGATCGCTTGAGCTCAGGAGTTCAAGACCAGCCTGGGCAACAGGGTGAAACCCTGTCTCTACTAAAAATACAAAAGTCAGCTGGGCATGGTGGCGAGCTACACCTGTGGTCCCAGCCACTTGGGAGGCGGAGGTGGGAGGATCACTTGAGTCGAGATCACGCCACTGCACTCCAGCCTGGGTGATAGATTGAGACTCTGTCTCAAAAAAAAAAAAAAAAAGTATTGGCCGGGCGCGGTGGCTCATGCCTGTAATCCCAGCACTTTGGGAGGCCAAGGCAGGTGGATCACGAGGTCAAAAGATCGAGACCATCCTGGTCAACATGGTGAAACCCTGTCTCTACTAAAAATACAAAAAATTAGCTGGGCACGGTGGCACGTGCCTGTAATCCCGGCTACTCAGGAGGCCGAGGCAGGAGAATTGCCTGAACCCAGGAGGCAGAGGTTGCGGTGAGCCGAGATGGCACCATTGCACTCCGGCCTGGGTAACAAGAGCGAAACTCCGTCTCAAAAAAAAAAGGTATCAAGCCTCAGGTATTATTTTATAGCAACACAAAATGGACTAATAGAGGTTCCCTTAGTATTCCCTGTAGTTCTGTTCTGCTGGGAACAAATTCTGTTAATTTTTGTTTACTGAAAATATTTGTCCAATGTTTTAGTGGTTGCTGATCTGATGGCTACGAAATGATATCTTATTTTAAAGCCTTTCTCCAATTGTTGCTAATGTATACATTTTTAAGTATTGATTTTGGGTTTGTCAGTTTTGCTAAAATCTCCTATTAATTCTATAATTTGTTAGTAGTTTCTTTTGCTTTTTGTTTCTGATTTTTTTTGTTGTGGTAAAATACACATAAAATAACATGTATCTTACTAATTTTAAGTGTACAGTTCAGTGGTATTAAATATATTGATGATGATGTGTGACCATCACCCCCATCCATCTCCAGAACTCGTTCCATATTATTGAATGGAAACTGTTCCTGCCAAACAATAACTCTCCATTTCACTCTCTCCCCAAATTCTTGAAACTACCATTTTAGTTTGTGTGAATCTGACGATGTTAGGTGCCTCCTATAAGTGGAATCACTCAGTATTTTTCCTTCTGTGACTGGCTTATTTTACTTATAATGTCCACCAGTTTCATCTGTGTTATAGCATGTATCAGAATTTCCTTTCTTTTTTAAGGCTGAATAATATTCCATTGTATGTATGTTGCCACATTTTGCTTGTTGATTCATTTGTCAGTGGACATTTGGATTGCATTCGTGTTGTAGCTCTTGTGAATAATGTTGCTATAAACATGGATATACAAATATCTCTTTGAAACTCTGCTTTAGGTATATGCTCAGAAGTGGAATTACAGGATCGTGTGGTAATTCTAGGTTTCATTTTTTTAGGAACTGCCACAATGTTTCCCATGGTGGCTGTACCATCTTACATTCTTACCAACAGTGCACAAGGGTTTTAATTTCTCCCCATTTTTGCTAACATTTATTTTTCTAAAGTATCATCCTAATGGATGTGAAGTGGTATCTGGTAGTCTTGATTTGCATTTCCCTAATGATTACTGAGCACATTTATATGTACTTCTTGGCCATTTGTGTATCTTCTTTGGAGGAGTGTTTATTCATGTTCTTTGCCTATTTTTATATTGGTTGTCTGTGTGTATGTAATTTAAACGTTAAAAAATACAGATAAATATATAAAAATATTTATTTGTATTAGCTATTCCATAATCTAAACATATTTCAAGACATCGTGTTGTATACCAAAGATGAATACAATATTTACCGTCAATTTAAAAGATATAAATTTTAAAACTACTCATATTTGAATTGTGAATTGGTTGTGTGTATGTATGCAATTTAAACATTTAAAAATACATAAAAGGCCGTGTGCGGTGGCTCACGCCTGTAATCCCAGCACTTTGAGAGGCTGAGGCAGGTGGATAACGAGGTCAAGAGATTGAGACCATCCTGGTCAACGTGGTGAAATCCCGTCCTACTAAAAATACAAAAATTAGCTGGGTATGGTGGTGTGTGCCTGTAGTCCCAGATACTCGGGAAGCAGAGGCAGGAGAATTGCTTGAACCCAGAAGGCAGAGGTTGCGATAAGCTGAGATTGTGCCATTGCACTCCAGTCTAGGTAACAACAGCGAAACTCCATCTCAAAAAAAAAAAAATATATATATATATACATACAAATAAATATATACAATATATTTGGGTTAGGGTTAGGGAGTGGATTATTTATATATTGTATAAATAAATATATACAATATATTTATTTGTATTAGCCATTCCATAATCTATACATATTTCAAGACATCATGTTGTATATCAAAGATATATACAATATTTACCTGTCAATTTAAAAGGTATAAATTTTTAAAATACTCATATTTGAATTGTGAATTTGTCTCAAATTCATACAAAGCAAAATGGTGGTTTCAAGAACTAGAGGAGAGGGAAACAGGGAGTTATTGTTTAATGGGTACAGAGTTTTCATTTAGAATATGGAAAGAGGTCTGGACATGGATGCTGATGATGGTTACAAAGCATCATTCATATTTAATTTTTTTTTTTTTTGAGACGGAGTTTTGCTCTTGTTACCCAGGCTGGAGTGCAATGGCGCAATCTCGGCTCACCACAACCTCCGCCTCCTGGGTTCAGGCAATTCTCCTGCCTCAGCCTCCTGAGTAGCTGGGATTACAGGCATGTGCCACAGTACCCAGCTAATTTTTTGTATTTTTAGTAGAGACGGGGTTTCACCATGTTGACCAGGATGGTCTCCATCTCTTGACTTTGTGATCCACCCGCCTCGGCCTCCCAAAGTGCTGGGATTACAGGTGTGAGCCACTGCGCCTGGCCCTTATTTAAAGATTTTTAAATTGACAGATTAAATAGTGTATATATTTTTTGGTGTACGACATGGATTTTCTTACAATGGGCTTCATCTTTCTCTGGTGCCTCCCTGATAAGCTTAATAACTAACCTCCTAAATTATTTTTCAGGTAAATTGGGGATTTCTTCTTTCTTTGGGTCCGTTGCTGGTGAGCTAGTGTAATTTTTTTGGAGGTGTTAAAGAACCTTGTTTTGTCATATTACCAGACTTGGTTTTCTGTCTTCTTCTCCTTTGGGTAGATTCTATCAGAGGAAGGGCTAGGGCTGAAGGCTTCTTTTGTTCCACAGGGTGTTTCCTTGATGTAGCACTCTCCCCCTATTCCTATGATGTGGCTTCCTGAAAGCTGAGCTGTAGTGATCATTATCTCTCTTCTGGATCTAGCCACTCAGCAATTCTCCAGGCTCTGGCTGGTACTGGAGGCTGTCTGCACAGAGTTCTGTGATGTGAATCATCTGTGGGTCTCTCAGTCGTGGATACCAACACAGTATTTGGGGTGTCTCCTGGGTCCCGCAGAGCAATCCACTTCCTTCAGGGAGTCTGTGGGTCCTCTCAGGTTTCCTGATTTATTTCTCCAGTTGTTCTGTAGCAAAAATTAACAGTGTGAGCCTCCACACGCTGCTCTGTCTGTCCCAGTCAGAGCTGCGATCTAGCCCTGCCTCTCATCTGCCATGATTCCCAGTGGTGTCTTTTGAAACAAACAGTTTAAAACATTGATGAAGTTAGGTTTGTCAATTGATTGTGTTTTTGGTGTTGAATCTAAAAACTCTTTGCCTAACCCAAGGTTGGGAAGATTTTTACTTTTTCTAAAAGCTTTATAGTTTTAGCTCTTACATTCATGTCCATGATCCATTTTGTATTATTTTATTTTGTATATGATGTAAGGTAAGGGTCCAACCTCATTTTATAAAATCCTAATACATTTAAAAATATGAATAGGCTTTTATTTTAAGAATAGTTTTTAGATTTATAGAAAAACTGAGGGGCAAGTACAGAGTTCCTCTGTTTCCCCTCCCCCAACAATTTTCTCTATTAACATATTGCATTAGTGTGGTACATTTGTTGCAATTGATGAACCAATATTGATATATACATTCGTTTTCTAGGGCCTCCATAACAAAATACCAAAGACTGGGTGGCTTAAACTAGGGGTCCCAGTCCCCAGGCCATGGGCTGGTACCAGTCTGTGGCCTGCTAGGAACTGGGCTGCACAGCAGGAGGTGAGTGCTGGGTGAGTGAGCGAAGCTTCATCTGTATTTACAGTTGCTCCCATTGCTCATGTTACCACCTGAGCTCAGCTTCCTGTCAGATCCGTAGCGGTATTGCATTCTCATAAGAGCACGGACCCTATTATGAACTGTGCATGTGAGGGATCTAGGTTGCTCCCTCTTGATGGGAGTCTAAAGCCTGATGATCTGTCATGATCTCCCATCATCCCCAGATGAGACCATCTAGTTGCAAGAAAACAAGCTCAGGGCTCCCACTGATTCTATATTATGGTAAGTGCATACTTATCCCATTATATATTACAATGTAATAATAGAAATAAAGTGCACAATAAATGTAATGCGCTTGAATCATCCTGAAACCATCTTCTCCCCTTCCTGGTCCATGGAAAAATTGTCTTCCATGAAACTGGTTCCTGGTGCCAAAAAGGTTGGAGACTGCTGACTTAAATAACGGAAACTAATTTTGTCACAATTAGGGAGAGACTATGAGAAAGGTCAAGGTGTCAGAAGCTTGTTTTCCTCAGAGGCCTCTCTCCTTGGCTTGCAGAAGGCTGCCCTCTCATTATGTCCATACTTGGTCTTTTCTCTACTTGAGTATTGCTGGTGTCTTCCTTCCAAATTTCTTCTTACAGGGACACTAGTCAAGTTGGACAAGTGCACACCCTAATGGCCTTGTTTTAGCTTCGTGACTTCTTTTAAAGGTCTTATCTCCAAAGATAGCCACCTTCTGAGGTCCTGGGGGTTTGTGAATGTTGGAAACACACTGTTCAGTCTATAAGAATAGATTATTACTAACTGAAGTCCATAGTTTACCTCAGGGCTCACCCCATATTGTACCATCTGTGGGATGTGACAAATGTTTAATGGCACATGTCCGCTGTTCTAATATCAGACAGAGTAGTTTCGCTGCCTAAAAATCCTCTGTGCTCTGCCTATTCATCCTTCCTACTCCCAGTCCTGGTAACCACAGATATCAGATATGTATTTTTTTTTTTTTTTGGTGAGACGAAGTCTTACTCTGTCACCCAGGCTGGAGTGCAGTAGCACAATGTCGGCTCACTGCAACCCCCACCTACCCAGATCAAGCAGTTTTCATGTCTCAGCCTTCGAAGTAGCTGGGACTACAGGCGAGAGCCACCACACCTTGCTCATTTTTTGTAGTTTTAGTATTTTTTGTATTTTTGAGGAATGCATTGTTAAGTGGTTGCATCATTGTGTGAACATGATAGAATGTTCCTATAAGACTCAGTGGCAGAGCCTGCTGCACACCTAGGCTGTAGCGTATGGCCCGTCATCTCTAGGCTGCGAACCTGTACAGCTTGTTACTGTACTGGTTACTAAGGTGACTGTAACATAATGGTAAGTATTTGTCTATCTAAACCTGTGCTTAGTTGTAGAATTACAAAGAGGATTTTGATAGAGCTAGCATTGAGTTTACAGATCATTTTGGGAAGAATTATCTTGTTAATTGAGTCATCCAATCTATGAACATGGAATTTCTCTTCATTTATTTAGATCTTCCTTAATTTCTCTCAACAATGTCTGGTAGTTTTCGGTGTTCAAGACAATTCTTTTCTTAAACATACTCTTAATTATTTACTTCTTTTAAAATACCATTGTAAATGAAATTGTGTCTTTATTTAATATTAAGCCTTTTTAGTTTTGGAAGACTTCATAATTACAAGAACATTGCTCTCATCTTCTATATATTGAAATAACATAATTGCAAGGAAGTTGGTACTCTCATCTCAAACACATCGAGGTTGAAATCCTAAATATTTTATAGTTACTGTCTCAAGAGAAATGAGTCTCTTTATTGACCACAGATAATTTATTTTAAAATTCATTTTTGGTATGAAATAGTAAGCTTATTTGGCTAACAATTCTTTTGGTTGGCATTTTAGACTGAGCTCAGCTGGCTGGTTTTCTCATCTAGGTGGGCTTTTTGTCCACGGTGACCTGCTTGTTAGGTGGCTCTCCTGCTTGGGGCTGGCTAGACATTGGCTGGGACCGCAGCAGTGCCTGGGCCATATTCCTTCCATGGTAGCAGGCTACGCTGGGCTTGCTTTTCTGGTGTGTTGCAGGGATCTGAGAGGGAACACAGGTGCACTGTACCCCAGGAGGCCTAGGATTAGGGTGGTGGTGCTGTCACTCTGCCTCATTCTGTTGACCAAAGTGAATCACAAGGCCAGCTGGAACTGAAGGTGAGGGAAAATTGATCCCATCTCTTGATGGGAGGAGCTTCAAAAATCAGATGCAAAGGGCCATGGACATAGGAAGGAAGTAATCGTGGCCATTTTTGCAAACAGTTCACCATGGCGGGTGTATCTTTGCAGTTCGATCTGACTGTTTAGAAGCTGAGTCATTTTTGTTTGTTTGTTTGTTTGAGAAATCACCCACTTCTGAATCTCGGGAGGGACAAATACCACTGCTTCCAACAGGAGCTGAAAATGCTCCATATTTGTTTTCTTCTTCCATTGCATCTAGGGCATGGGCACCTGTGCAGTTTAGAGGCGAGGAAGGTGAGCTGGTAAGCTCAGTGTGGAATTGGAGTTCTGGTTATAGTGTTGACTACCGAGGTGCCTGGCTGAAAGGCCATGTTCTCATTGGAGAAATGGCAACTGTGATGGTGTTGACCTTGGTTGCAACATGGTTAAGCGAAAAGTTGGGAGGGTGCCTGTTGTCACCTCTCTTGTTCTGCTGTAGCAGGGCCATCAATATTTCATGAGAAGTAGGGCCTGGTGCTGCGTCTGTTTGGAGTAAGTGCATTTTCCTATAACTGGACACGGTGAACACTTGCTAGAGTTACTGAAACAAGTCTGTACCCTAGAGATGGGTTGAATTGGTCTCTTCAGATTTCAATTCTGCAGGGAGATGGTTGATGTTGCCAGGTTTGCTCCAAGAGTCTCATTGAACCATGTGCAGTGAAGGGAAGAATCTGAAGAGGGTGCTGCATGAGTGTCCTCACTCTGCATCGTCTCCCAGGTTCACCTTTCATTTCAGCCTAGTGGTCTAATATCACGTGAGTTTTTCAAGAAGACTGATCAGTCAACTGGAGAATGATCTGCTATTTTAGCCTCACTTGTTTAGCTTGTAAAATTGATCATGTTTCCATGAGGTACCCATGACTCTGGCTGTGCAGGGGCCCTGTAGGGTCCTGGTGGGTCAGCCACGAGCCCAGGGGACAGTGTGTGTCTCTTTCTTTCCCTGCAGGCAGCCTGTGTGGCAGTGGCACAGGTGCGTGCTACCTGCTACCTGTCTTTGACACCGTGTTTGTCAGGAGGAAACACCGGCGCCAAGGCCTGGGAACGGCCATGCTGCGGGATTTCTGTGCGACATTCCCAGATGACGAGGCCCTGGGGGTCAGCTGTCCAATATCTCCTGCCATGTACCAAGGTAACCCTGCCTTGAATTGTACTGAAGCGTACGGCAATGGATAACACACATGCATTCCAGGGGATTTGGAGGCGGAGGCCCTGGGGAGACATCATGGGCAGATGCAGGCCTCGGCGCGGCAGCACGCACGTGGGGGTTTTCTTCCCTCTGAGAAATCTCCAATTGCTGCAGCACAAGCTGAGACTTCACGTTTGATCACAAGGAGTAAACTTCTCCCAAGCTGGAAAGTAATCGGATTCAGAAACAACCACAAGCAAATCAGTGAGCTCAGAGAAGAGGGAATCTGGGGAGCTGCCGCCATGCCGTGGGCTGCAGGGCCTTGGAATGCCTTTGCTCTTCCACTTGACACCTGTAGTTCCTCGCTTTGTCCTTTGAACTTGAAGCCACAGGAGAGCCCAAGAGCTAAAGGGAAGGCAGGGACTGGGTGGAAGGGCAAGCTCTGAATGGGCTCAGCTTTCCAGTGCCTCTGTGGCTCTCTATACACGAGACGCCTCCCTCCCGTATCCTTTATCCATGTTTGCCAGAGGAGGATGAAACAGCTCTGATGTGAAACATCACACCCTAAGGTGACGAGGGTGGGAGGCTCTGGAGAGCCTGTCTCTGAGCCCCCCTCTGCCCCGTGAAGCACACACACCCTACTGTGTGCCCTGCCTCTGTTCTGGGTGTGCGGCTGTTTTTGATTGCTTAGTATCCAGTTTCTGGTGTCTTTCTGGCTCAAGGGATAGGAGAGAACAGTTAGGAAAAGCCAGGAAGCTTCTGTTGCTGTGTAGTCATAAAGAAAAGCAGGTAAAAACATCATTTTCCTCAGGTGGGTCTGGTTATTTCTTTGTATTTTCAAGCTCTTAGTCTGTTGTTAAACTCTGAAGAGCTTTGGATTTCTGCAAAGAGCCCTTGAGGCTTCTTGCACCGTGTAGCTCACTTTCAGGTGCCGGAGCATTCGGGGGCTGGGCAGCCAGTCCTCTGTCCAAACCCTTGTCCTTCCGGTCCCTCTCCTCCTCCTCTTTTTTTGAGACAGTCTCAGTCTGTTGCCAGGCTGGAGTGCAGTGGTGCAATCTCTGCTCACTGCAACCTCTGCCTCCTGGGTTCAAGCAATTCTCGTGCCTCAGCCTCCCAAGTAGCTGGGACTTCAGGCGCGCACCACCTCACCCAGCTAATTTTCATATTTTTAGTAGAGATGGAGTTTCACCATGTTGGCCAGGATGGTCTTGATCTCCTGACCTCGTGATCGGCCTGCCTCAGCCTCCCAAAGTACTGGGATTATAGGTGTGAGCCACCATGCCCCGCCCCTCTCCTCTTTCTTGCTTCAGGTGCAGACCACCTCCTGGTTTTAGGAGGCTTTGCAAAGGGAGTGGTAGAGAGTGCTTTACTCAAAGGAACAGTGGGCTCCAAGGTTAAGGGCTGGACTGCTGAGTCTGGGTCAGCCTTGCTGAGACCCTGTAGGGCCCAGGGCTCCCTGCTGTCTCTCCACTGTCTTCGCCTGCAAAGAAAGTTCTGAACGGGCTGATTCTGACTCATGCTACCGCTCTCGGCTTCAGCCACCCAGGTTTCTATTGAGTTCTGTGATGCCTTCCGACTGGACAGGACAGACTCCTGCCCTGGGCCCCACGCTTTGAGCCCTCTTTCAGCTGCATCTCCCTCTGCGGGAGCAAAGACTCCATGAGCCCAAGAGGAGATGCCCTCCTGGCCCATACTTCTCCTCCTAAACTGGCTCAGGGTACCAGGACCCCAGGATTCCTGCCAGTGGCCACTGTGGGGCCTAGTGGACCTCATCCCTGGGTCTGTGCTCATGAGGGTGACCAGTTTGTACATCCTTAGAGCCCAGGGAGGATCTTGGGGGGCTGTGGACAGTGTGTGGGGAGGTGGCCACATTTGTACTCACAGGCCCCTTAGGTATCTATTGGGGGCTGGGGTGGGTGGAGAAGGGGGTGGACTGCCGGCTGGGGGCCAGCTCGCTTGGTATTGCCACATTCTGGTGCAATGCTCCAAGGAGTCCAAGAATTCTAAATTTGAAACGAGCTTCTCCTGTTGTTAGGAAGTTATATTTGTCAAGATAGCAGGGCAGAGCGTGTCATATATAGCGCTTTGCTAACTTGGTTTGTACCTTTGGAAGACAGGCATTCCTCATTTCACTGCTCTTCCCTTGATTGCACTTTGCAGATGCTGCGTGTTTTACATTGTGAAGGCTGTGGCAGCCCTGCTTCGAGCAGCTCTTCTATCAGGGACACTTTTCCAAAAGCATGGGCTCGCTTCATGTCTCTGTGTCACATTTCGGTAATTTTCCCAATATTTCAAACTTCTTTATTATTGTATCTGTCACGGTGATCTGTGATCAGTCATATTCGACGTTACTGTTATAATTGTTTTGGGGCACCCCAAACCGTGCCCATGAAAGTCAGTGAACTTAATCAGTGCATGAGCCTGTTCTGACTCTGCTAGCGACCAGCTGTTCCTTCCTTCTCTTCCTGTTCCTTGAGACACAATAATATTGAAATTAGGTCAATTAATAACCCTACAATGGCCTCTGAATGTTCAAGTGAACAGAGGAGTCACACGTCTTTCACTTTAAATCAAAAGCTAGAAATGACCAAGCAAGGAAGGCGTGTCAAAGGCTGAGGTAGGCTGAACGCTAGGCCTCTGGCACCAGTTAGCCAAGATGTGAATACAAAGGAAGAATTCTTGAAGGGAATGAAAAGTTCTACTCCCGTCAACACACAAACGATAAGGAAGTAAAGCAGCCTTATTGCTGACAGGGAGAAAGTTTTAGTGGTCTGGAAAAAAGATCAAACCAGCCACAACATTGCCTTAAGTCACAGCCTAACCCAGAGCAAGTCCCTGACTCTCTTCCATTCTACCCAGGCTGAGAGACTTGAGGAAGCTGCATAAGAAAAGTTTGAAGCTAGCAGAGATTGGCTCATGACATTTGAGGGAAGACGTCATCTCCATAACGTAACAGTGCAAGGTGAAGCAGCAATTGCTGATGGAGAAGCTGCAAGTTATCCAGAAGATCTGGCTAAGAATGTCGGTAAAGGTTCACTACACAACAGATTTTCAGTGTAGGTGAAACAGCCTTCTACTGGAAGGAGATGCCATCTGGGACTTTCATAGCTAGAGAGGAGAAGTCAGTGCCTGGCCTCAAAGCTTCAAAGGACAGGTTGAGTCTCTTGTTAGGGGCTGATGGAGCTGGTAGCCTTCAGCTGAAGACCACGCTCATTTACTGGTCTGAAAATCCTAAGGTCCTTAAGAATAATGCCAAATTGGCCAGGTGTGGTGGCTCATGTCTGTAATCCCAGCACTTTGGGAGACCGAGGCTGGTGGATCATGAGGTCAGAAGTTCGAGACTAGCCTGACCAAAATGGTGAAACCACCTCTCTACTAAAAATACAAAAATTAGTTGGGTGTAGTGGCATATACCTGTAGTCCCAGCTATTCAGGAAGCTGAGTCAGGAGAATCACTTGAACCTTGGAGGCAGCGGTTGCAGTGAGCCGAGATCACGACATGGCACTCCAGCCTCGGTGACAGCAAGACTCCATCTCAAGAGGGAAAAAAAGAATTATGCCAAATCTATTCTGTCTGTGCTCTAGAAATGGAACAACAGTGCCTGGATGACAGCACATCTGTTTACAGCATGGTTTAGTGAAAAATTTAAGCCCACAGTTGAGACCTACTGCTCAACTGTGGGCTTAAATTAGTCACTAAACCATGCCTTCAAAATATTACTGCTTATTGACAATGCACCTGGTTATCCAAGAGTTCTGATGGACATATACAAAGAGATTAATGTTGTTTCCATGCCTGCTAACATAATATCCATTCTTCAGCCTGTGGATCAAGGAATAAATTCAGCTTTCAAGTCTTATTTAAGAAATACACTTTCTAAGCCTATAGCTTCCACAGGTAGTGATTCCTCTGATGGATCTGGGTAAAGTACATTGAAAACCTTTTGGAAAGGACTCACCATTCTAGATGCCATTAAGAACATTTGTGATTCCTGGAAGGTCAAAATATCCACATACACGGGAGTATGGAAGAAGTTGATTCCAACTCTCATGGATGACTTTGAGGGAGGAGTCCAAAACTTCAGCAAAGGAAGTCACTGCTGATGTGGTGGAAATAAAAAGAGAACTAGAATTAGAAGTGGAGCCTGAAGATGGGGCTGAATTACTGCCATTTCATGATCAAACTTGAGCAGTTGAGGAGTTGCTTCTTATGGATGAGCAAACAAAGTGGGTTCTCGAGTTGGAATCTCCTCCTGTTGAAGATGCTGTGGACATTGCTGAAATGACAACAAAGGATTTGGAATATTCCATAAATTAGTTGATAACGCAGCAGCAGCAGGGTTTGAGAGGATGGACTCCAATTTTGAAAGAAGTTCTATTGTGGGTAAAATGCTATCAAACAGCATCACATGCTGCAGAGAAATCTGTTGTGAAAGGAAGAATCAAATTGGGGGAAGAAACTTCATTGCTGTGTTATTTTAAGAAACTGCCACAGCAACTCCAGCCTTCAGCAACTGCCACCCTGAGAGGCCATCAACTTTGAGACAAGACCCTTTACCAGCCTAAAGATATGACTCACAGGAGGCTCAGATGATCACTACTGTTGTTTAGCATTAAAGTGTATTTTAGGCCGGGCACGGTGGGTCACACCTATAATCCCAGCACTTTGGGAGGCCAAGGCGGGTGGATCACGAGGTCAAGAGATCGAGACCATCCTGGTCAACAAGGTGAAACCCCGTCTCTACTAAAAATACAGAAATTAGCTGGGCATGGTGGTATGCGCCTGTAGTCCCAGCTACTCAGGAGGCTGAGGCAGGAGAATTGTCTGAATCCAGAAGGCAGAGGTTGCAGTGAGCCGAGATCGCACCATTGTACTCCAGCCTAGGTAACAACAGTGAGACTTCGTCTCAAAAAAAAAAAAGGTGTTTTAATTAAGGTATGTACATTGTAGTTTTTAGACAAAATGCTATTGCAGGCTTACTAGACTGCAGCATAGTATAAACGTAACTTTTATATGTATGCACTAGGAAACCAAAAAATTCACGTGACTTGCTTTACTGTGAAATTTGCTTAATTGTGGTAGTCTGGGACAGAACACACAGTATCTCCGAGGTCTGCCAGCACTTAGCATTGCACTCTTTAGGTTTCCATCTGTGCTCTTTCCCAGGGCTCCTAAAATGTTAGGAAGTGGGTCTAATGGCGTCCCCACGGGCATCTGCAGAGAACCAGGAGCAGTTTCTCATTCACCCGGATTCGGGACATTGCCATGTGAAAATGTTCACCCATGAATGCGGGCGTAAAAGTCTGGGAACCTTAAGTGGACTCTGGAATCCAGAAGGGAGCAGAGGATAAGCCTGAAGGTTCTTTGGGAGGGAGGAAGGACGGTGCATGAAGAACGGCCAGTGTGGATGGTGCTGTGGACTAAGTTGTGCCCCCCACCAAATTCATATGTTGAAGCCCTTGATATGACCACATTTGGAGATAGGGCCTTTAAAAAGCTAATTAAAAGGCTGGGCGTGGTGGCTCACACCTGTAATCCCAGCCTGACCAATATGGAGAAACCCCATCTGTACTAAAAATACAAAAACTTGCTGGGTGTGGTGACACATGCATCTAATCCCAGCTACTTGGGAGGCTGAGGCAGGAGAATCGCTTGAACCCAGGACGTGGAGGTTGTGGTGAGCCAAGATTGTGCCATTGCATTTCAGCCTGGGCAAGAAAGAAAAACTCTGTCTCAAAAAAAAAAAAAAAGTTAATTCAGGTTGAATGAGGTCCTAAAGGTGTGCCTCTAGTCCAGTATGACTGGTGTCCTTGTAAGAAGAGAAGGACCAGGATGGACCCAAACAGAAACAGCCATGTGAGGACACAGGGAGAAAATGGCCATTCATAAGCCAAGGAGAGAGGCCTCAGGAGAAACCAAGGCAGGGCCACCTTGATCTTGGATGTCTAGCCTCCAGGACTGTGAGAAATAAATTTCTGTTGTTTACACCAGTGGTCCCCAACCTTTTTGGCTCTAGGGAAGACAGTTTTTCCACAGATGGGGCAGGGATAAGGGGTTGGTTTCAGGGTGATTTAAGCACATTACATGTATTTCTTGTGTATTTTATTTCTATTGTTATTACATTGTAATATGTAATGAAATGGTTATACAGCTCACCATCATGGAGAATTGGTGGGAGCCCCAAGCTTGTTTTCCAGGTCCCATCTAGGGATGATGGGAGATAGTGACAGATCATCAGGCATTAGATTCTCATAAGGAGCATGCAACCTGGATCCTGCGCATGCCCAATTCACAGTAGGGTTCATGCTCCTATGAGAATCTAATGCAGCTGCTGTTCTGACAGGAGGCCTTTTTTAGGTGGTAATGTGAGCACTGGGAGTAGCTGTACATACAGATGAAGCTTTGCTCACTTGCTCGCTGCTCAGCTCTTGCTGTGTGTGTCTTGGCACTAGTTGGTGGGCCAGGGGTTGGGGACCCCTAGTTTAAACCACGAAGTCTGCAGTGTTTTGTTATAAAAACCCTAGTAAATGAATGCAGATGGGAGAGGTTGTGGGAAGTAGAAAAGTTCCTTTTTAAAGTTTCCTTTCTTGTTATAGAATAAGTGTGCTAATAACTTTGTTAAGCCCTATCCTGTGTAGCTGTTAGACATGCCGTGCTTACAGGCACATAGTGCACTCTATGTTCTTGTATTTTAATCAAGATGTCTGTGCTGGACGTGCTCACAGGCATGTTCCAGCTCTCCACTAGTTTAACCTGTTCAGAAAGTTTTAAGTTGTTAGCCAATCGGGTTTTAGTTTAGATTGTGGGGTCTGTCTCCAGACAATGAAGATGAGACACAGCAGTAAGGATGACCCCGAATGCGTAAGGGATAAATTTGTGTGTTTTCCTTTGTTCATTGTACTCTCGTGGCAAGATGGCTAGTGAGAGTACCCATCCTGCAGTCCAGGAAGTAAAAATTGCATTGCTGAAACTGTGTTTCAGTCTGACTTATAGTCTGGAAGTCTGTAAGATCCTTTGTCTCAGTGCTGAGTTTTCTTTGTAGCACCAAGCACCTATTTCCAACATCTCTCTGCAACAGGGGCAGAGATGAGAGCTCCACACCACGAGGAGCCGGGAGATGGATGTGTCCATGGTAGGCAGATGAAAAGTGGTTTGAGTGTAGCAGGGATTCCAGCAGAGGTTCCAGATGGTGGGGGTAATGGAGGGCTGCTTGAGGAGGACTGGAGTGGGCCATGTCTGAGACCCAGAGAGTTGGTACAGAGTGAACCAGAGTTAGGTGGGGGACTTCCTCACTCATGCTGCGTTCCTTCCTCCCAGTCTGTAGGCAGTTCCTGTTTGTCTGTCCAGAGGAGCGAGGGCGACTGTGGGAGGTGAAGCCCCCAGGGGCTTGGGGCCAGCGCATCAACATTTGGCTCAAGGTTCAGCTTCAGCCAAGACTTCCAGACTGTAAGTCAGACTGAAACACTGCCCTGCATCTGTCTAGTTATTTCTAGTGTCAACACTAGTATGGATTAATTTACGGTGATCTTTTTTTTTTTTTTTTGAGACTGAGTCTCTATTGCCCAGGCTGGAGTGCTGTGGTGCGATCTCAGCTCACTGAAACCTCTGCCACCGGGTTCAAGCAATTCTCCTGCCTCAGCCTCCTGAGTAGCTGGGATTACAGGCACCTGCCACTGTGCCCGGCTACTTTTTGTAATTTTAGTAGAGACAGGGTTTCACCCTCTTGGCCAGGCTGGTCTTGAACTTCTGACCTCGTGATCCACCTGCCTTGGCCTCCCAAAGTGCTGGGATTATGGGGCGAGCCACCTTACCCGACCCCCAAGTGGCTTTTTTGACAGTGCACTTTCCACTTCTCGCAAGTGGGGAAGGGCTGCCCATGGCAAGCGCTTCTTGGCTCAGCGCTAAGAGGTGAGGCCAGGCCAGGGCCGAAGCGGATGCCTCCAGGCTGCAGGTGCTGCTGTGGGTGAGAGATGAGGGGGACAGTTAATTTAAATTAACTGTCCAAAATGAAAGCCCCAGCTCTTCTTCCCTCCTGGGGTGGGTGCTCCCGTCAGCATCGAATCACATTTCTGCAGCTGCAGGTGGCTCATTAGGGGTTGACGGGCAGCCAAGGTGCCAGGCTTTCTCTCCACACGCTGACTGATCCACCTTAGCTGTTGACAGGTGAGAGTGCCTTGGAGTTTATTGATGATAATAGTGATCAGTTTTGCATTTATGTTGGAAGGCTTAATGGATCTTTACAGATATTAATGGGGTGACCAAGCACCAGGGAAGGAGGCCTGGCAGGGTGGAGCTGAGCTGTGATCCTAATGAGGCGGTTAAGTGACTTGCCCTGCGGCGCTGAGTTAGGAATGAAGGGAAGCGAGTCGGGTCCCTGGGCACTGAGCTGTCCCTCCATGAGGGTTTATGGACACGCTACACAAATGAGGCTGTGGGGCCTCATGCAGCCTCTGTGCTTGGATGTTTTCAGTCCCTTGGCTGGGAATGGAGAAGAAAAATGCATTGCATATTGGAATGTGGAAATCTCACAGACCAGAGGGGTGAGCAGGGGCAAGACTTTTTCTCCTAATTGGGGAGATGCCTCCTCCCAGCTAATCCCATTGGGTCTGTTTAAAGAGCTGGGAGTCAGTGTGGTCTGGGCAGAGGAAACTGAGCTGGAAGTCAGATGCCAAACCTGTCATTTTAATTCACTCTGAGATTCACCAACTCTCATTTTAAAACAGCAAATGAGGGGACTTGCACAGAGAATGTTTCAGAAGCATGCTTGAGTCCCTTGAAGGAAGAAGGGCCATCTTTATAATTAGGATATACATAGATTACTAAAACTCTTTAATTAAAAAAAAATTCTAAGTTATGGTCTTTTCACTGCCTGTATACATCATGGCTAGTTCTCAGGTTCAGCCACATCTTCTTTTTCCCCAAGTGCCCGCAGTCAGGATTTTAAATCACTCAGGAGGGTTTTCAGCCAGCCGGCTTTGGCTCGCAACCGTTATGACAGTTAGTGCTGACATCTCAGGTTTTTTTCAGGTTGGTGAGCTGGGGCTGCAAATGTGATCACAGATTAGCTCGGTGCTCTGCAGTTTCTCATCTGTTTCTCTCTTCATAGAAATCAGCAAGTGTTAGTGGATTAGAACTTCTCACAGGCCACCAAACAATGCAGATTCTAGAAGCTTCTCTTCCCTGGGAATCTCACTAGGCCATTAATTGGATGTTAGTCTTAAATTAGTCGGTGATTCTTAGAGTTGCTTTCTTGACTTGTTCTCCTTTTTCTTTTTCTTTTTTTTTGAGACGGAGTTTAGCTCTTGTTACCCAGGCTGGAGTGCGATGGCGCGATCTCGGCTCACTGCAACCTCTGCCTCCTGGGTTCAGGCAATTCCCCTGCCTCAGCCTCCTGAATAGCTGGGACTACAGGCAGGCACCACCATGCCCAGCTAATTGTTTGTATTTTTAGTAGAGGCGGGTTTTCACCATGTTGACCAGGATGGTCTCGATCTCTTGACCTCGTGATCCACCCGCCTCAGCCTCCCAAAGTGCTGGGATTACAGGCGTGAGCCACTGCGCCCAGCCCAACTTGTTCTCTTTTTTCAAGTTTTATCTGTTCTCTCTTCTTTTCCCTGACAGTTATTTTGGAGGTATCCTATAATTTTATGTGCCATAGAAATAGAACTGTAAGCAAGAAGCCCAGTGGAATCAATTGCTTCTTGCTCTAAATAAGGCATGAACATTTCACAACATTTCAAAGGGAAATTAACTTGTGCTCCTTGCAAATGTTTTAAAGACTATTTCTGAAGCAGCCTGATTGGCGGGCCAGGTCTTTAAAAGTTTGGGCCATCTTGGCTGTTGATAACATCTGTGGCTTATATTGGCCCTGAAAATATTTACAGATTATTCAGACCTTTTGAGAGAAGGAGTTTGGGAAATTTCTTTCTTCCGGCACTCAGTCACAGACAGAGCCTTTGAAATTTGACCAATAGGATCATAATTCCATCTGATGTGATTTCCCAGTCAGTCTGAACATGCCTTAAGTTTCTTTACCAGAGAGCATGAAACTGAATATGTCAACAGTGAAATTTTCTTTTGCAAAATTGTTACTGGGGGCAGGAAACAATTGACCACTGCTTTAAAAATTAACTTTTTTCAATCTATAGGTCATAGTTTTGCTTTCTTTCTCCAGATGAATTTTTAATGGATTCAGTTGTCATCCACAGGGAAAATACTTTTATCTGCATTTAATTTTTAAACCAGAAGGATCTTTGCATCAAGAGATGTGAAAATATGAGATAATAAGCGGGGGCCACTTTTCTGAAAGTTTGATGCCCAGAAAACTGCAGTTCTGACCTTTTTTTTCAGTTTTGCTGACTCATACCTTCACAAGTACAGTAGCCACAGCAGTTTCGTGGTGGTGCAGTGTGCTGGGGGCAAAATCACCACACTGGGTGTGTTTTTTTTTCTGTCGAATTCTGCTCTTTGACAGGTTATATGGCTCCTCTTAGTGGCCATTGTTGTCTACTGCAGCCTTGGATGCTACCTGTGTGATTAGTGCTCAGATACCTCCATGTATGCTCCCAATTGAGTGCGTTCATTTTTAATGATTTACTGAACCTCAGCCGGGCACGGTGCCTCACACCTGTAATCCCAGCACTTTGGGAGGCTGAGACGGACGGGTCATGAGGTCATGACATCAAGACCATGCTGGCTAACATGATGAAACCCTGTCTCTACTAAAAATACAAAACATTAGCGGGGCATGGTGGTACACGCCTGGAGTCCCAGTTACTTGGGAGGCTGAGGCCGGAGAATCGCTCGAACCCAGGAGGCAGAGGTTGCAGTGAGTCTGGATTGTGCCACTGCACTCCAGCCTGGGTGACAGAGTGAGATTCTCCATCTCACAAAAAAAAAAAAAAAAAAAAAAAAAATTACTGAACCTCAGTTAGGAATGAAATACAAGTAAACATTTGATAGCTCCCAGCACATAAAAACATTAGGAAAGGTGGAAAATTGATAATGGGCTATCCACTTCATTTCCTCATTCATTTGTTTATGTATTTCTTTATTCATTCATTCGACAACTGTTGATGAGGCATCTACAGACGTGCCAGGCACTGTCCTAGGTGTTAGGGATGTAGTAATGAATAAGGCTGATGTGGCTTCTGAGCTCATTTACCAGCTAACGACACGGGCACCTACTACTGTGTGTTATAAAAACTGTATGGCCAAGAGAACTAAAAAGCGTGCTGGTATTTTTAAGTGCCTTCAATTAAATTTTGCCAAACCAAACTTTGCTAATTTATACGGTTCTGTAAATAAATTTAAAAATTTACTTATATAGATAACAACTAAATAATTCATTTGTTCTTTGGTAAACAAAATGTGTTACATAGGTATTTTCAGCTGAAATGCAAAACTGCATTTTTTTTAGGGATCTGAACACCACACACACATGGATTTGGGGGTGTGGGGTGGGGAGCTGCACAGGAGGACAAGAAAGTCATCGCTTTCTTTCTTTCTTTTTTTTTTGAGACGGAGTCTCGCTAAGTCACCTGGGTTGGAGTGCAGCGGCACAATCTTGGCTTACTGCAACCTCTGCCTCCTGGGTTCAAGTGATTCTCCTGCCTCAGCCTCCCAAGTAGCTGAGACTACAGGTGCCGGCCACCAAGCCTGGCTAATTTTTTGTGTTTTTAGTAGATATGGGGTTTCACCATGTTAGCCAGGATGGTCTTGATCTCCTGACCTCGTGATCTACCAGCCTCAGCCTCCCAAAGTGCTAGGCTTACAGACAAGAGCCACCTCGCCCAGCCATGAAAGTCATCTCTTTCCAAGTTGGTACTGATTTGGTAGGAGAGGAGGGAAACTCACTGAACATGGGTGATGGGGACCTCTATTGTGAGCAAAACCACCGGCGAGCAAAGAGAAGGATTCAGGACTAGAACTGTAAATGTGAGTCCGTTAAATGCCAGAATCGATGGAAGAATAGATCACAATTCCAGCTCAGAAATACTTGAGTGGAACCACCCCTTTGCATCCCCGACACCTGGCAGGCATTCCTGTCCTCTGGAGAGCATTACAGCAAATGCCAAAATGAAGATCAAAAAGATGAAATGGACCCAGCACTTTGGGAGGCAGGGCCAGGCACATCACTTGAGGTCAGGATTCGAGACCAGCCTGGCCAACATGGTGAAACCCTGTCTGTACTAAAAATACAAAATTAGCTGGGCATGGTGGCGGGCACCTGTAATCCCAGCTATTCGGGAGGCTGAGGCAGGAGAATCGCTTGAAACTGGGAGGCAGGGGATACAGTCAGCCCAGATGGCGCCATTGCACTCCAGCCTAGGCCACAGAGGGAGACTCCATCTCAAGGAAAAAAAAAAGGAGCTAGAATTAGGTCATGGCCATCAACATGTTTGCAAGGTCCCCAGTGTACTATTTACTCTTTTAACTGTTCAGCCCCTTGGGAGCCACCCCCATTTGCTCATCCTCTTCTCTCTTGCTTGGGGAGGGCAGCACACCCAGGAAATTCTAAGGAGGAGGACGTCAGCCGTCATGCGAGGACTTCTTGGAATGACAGACCCAGACAGTCTGCCCCTGGAGACAGCAGCAAGGTATGGTGATACTCTATCACCCCACGAACGTCTCACTTTCTTAGTAACCCTGCTGTCCTTGTTTAGGGAGGCTGTGGTCTGAACCTGCAAGGCAGCTTTCTAGATGACTTCTCGTGGCAGTGGGCCTTGATCTATGCTCAGAATCTCCGGGCTGTGCTGGGAGCGGGTGTTGCGAGGAGAGCCTTTGTAATTAGACTTTTTATGGTTCTCTCCTCTAAACTAGACAAGCTCTAACGAAACCAAAATGGAACAGAGAACACATGGGAATTGGCCGTAACCTTGCATCGTTAAGGAAATATTGAAAAATCTGCATTTCAAATTCTGCCATGGACCAGTGTCTGTCAAGCAGAACAAAAAGCAAGACAAATTTGTCTTTCTTTCCTCCTCCACTGCGAAAGCTCAGATTGCTGGGATGGAGTTGGAATTAGGTATCAGGTTTTTGTATAATCCGGAGTTACTGTAGAGTAGAATCTAAAGGGAGGGTGCTTACAGAATATTTCTTCATTGCTTGTTGTCAATCAGTATTTTATAAGATTTTAGGTTTTCCTGTGGCCAAACCAGACTCTTGCCCATACAGGATATTGTGAAAATATTCACTCTCTGGTGCCAAAGGGTCTTTGCTCTCAAATTCCTTAAGAGTCCAAAATTACTTTAAACTCCAAAACATATACTTGTACATCATGGACAAATACTGCTTATTTTGGAAAATACATTGCTCTGAAATAGAAGATTCAGCAATGAAATCATAAAATATCTCAGTAAGTGCTGGATTGTTTTAGAAAGCTGCTTCCCGTCTGACATGAGCTCTAGCCGTCTGGCAGATGAGGGCTTTTGTTTTCTTTGGTTCACCATGGAAAGATGGGCTAACCTAAGACCCAACAGGCACCGAACAGAGAGCGTTGTACTTGGCATTTTCCACGGGTCCTTGACTTTCCCTTTAAATCTCTGTTAGAGGGAGCAGAGGTGTCCAGGGCACTGTAACGCCCATGGGTGTGGGCCTGGGGAAGGCTGCACATTTGAGCGCAGGGTGCCAGCTTTGAAAGCAGTGCTTCCTTCCTTGCTCTTTCCCTGGTCTCCCCGGGCTGGGCTGGGCTTCAGTTCCTTTCAGTAAATCTGTGCTCTTATGCACAAAACATGATTTCCCTGTGGTTGGCTGGGGCGTTTGAACCTGGCCTATTCTGATTCTCAGCAGGAAGTGCAGGCAGAAGCCAGGCCGGGACACCTGTATGTCCTGAACGTCCAGCCCCAGACTGTGCGGTCTGACCCCATTACTGTGATTAATCGGAATGCCTGTGGATTCTTTTCTGACTTCAGGAGAGGATGTGTGGAGAAGAGCTGGAAGACACAAAGAATGATCCAGACCATGGAGCGGAGGAGGAGGACATGGGGCTGGTGGGCCAGCTGCAGGGCAAGCTTGCAAGGCCCAGTCCCTGATGCCTCTGGATGCCCAGGATGCCCATCTGGGCCAGGTCCAGAGGCCTGCCTGGGCTCCCAGGATTTGGGTCTGAGACTTGTGTGACTGGAACACACCTTTCCTGGGGATCTTTGATGGGCAGATGACCCCATGGACCCCAGTTACCTCTGAGGTAGGCTCAGGCTCTAGAACGCCTGAGAATGTTCTGCGCTCAGTGTGCGACACTATGCACCAGCAGGGAGATAGTTCCCCAAGTTAATGGCTGACAGTTCCTACAAATTTCAGCAGCTTACTTGTTAAACCTAATATGGTTTCTGTTTCTCAGGGTAAATTGGTGGGACTTCACTGGAACCCCAGGGAGGTTTTACTGAAAGTACCTCTTTCCTTCTAGAAGTTTAAAGACGCTCCGGAAAGGGCCACACCCATTTCATCTAGGCTGCAGAAACCTATTGCAGTTTTGTGCATGCCAGCCCTGCCATTGCTGTGAGATCACGGACACCAAAGAGGTTTCCAGGGAGACACATGTCCTTTCCACTTCAGCCACATCAGAAGTGCCTTGAGGGCAGGGGCAGGGGCTGCTGTCTACGGCAGGCCTGGAGCTTCTTCTGGGCTCGTATACAGGAGGCGCTCAGAGAGGCTCTGCACAGGCTTCAGCCATCAGCTTAGCTGGGAAGCATCGGTAGGAATTTGGGCAGAGGGTGCTTCTAGCAGATTGGTAGCCTTAAGTGGAAAGGCTTGTGGTAGTAAAAGTAACTAAAAACGACAACCTGGCTCAAATGTGACGTCGGCTTCCCTCTTCTCAAATGCTGATGGAGCCCTGTTTGGTGGCTTACACCCGGCCACTCTGGGGGTGCAGAGACCAGGACCTGCTCTCAGGCCCCAGCGCCGACAGGCTAGGCAGAGCTGTTCCAGGGCTGCCAGCCCTCCACAAGGGTGGGGAGCAAGTCCAGGTTCCTTCAGGGAACCCAGAGCCTGCTCCCCTAGAGCTAGGGTGGTGCTTTCTCTGCAGCTGGCCCAGCCTCGCTGATTTCAGTAGGATTTTTTCCCAGAGAAAGCTGGTCAGGACCTTTTGAGGCAGATGACCCAAGTTCTTGCCCCTGCTTTTGGGCAAAGGCAAATCTGACCCCATTGCCGAGGACATTCCCAAACCCCTCTGTGCTCACGACTGACTTTGTAGAAGCCAGGGGCCTGCTACCAGGGCCCTGCCGCCTCTGCTCCTTGCCGTTGGAGTTCAGCCGCAGGGTCAGCCCTGGGCTGCCTGGTTACCTCTCACATCTCCAGTGCTACCACAGAGCTGGCCTTCAGAAACTGTGTGGGGAATGAAGGTGACAGGTCCCCTTGAGAGTGAGGGCCACACCTTTCCTCTCTTGTTTTGCTGCTGGATTTTGGAGACACTGACAGAGGAACAGGTTTTACCTTTTTTAGGGATGTAATAAAGGCCCTCCTGGAGCCTGATGAGGAGACCACCAGCAGTCCCAAGTTCTGAGAATACATCAGCTGTTCCCCCGAGCAGTCAAAGGACACACACGATGGGACCTTTTATTCATCCATGCACCCAGCTGTCTGTCCATCTGTCCATCCATCTGTCCATCTGTCCATCCATCCATCCATCCATCCATCCATCCATCCATCCATTTTGTTGTACATCAGACATTCAGCATGCTTTCTCAGGGACATGCTGTGTGCGGGGCACAGGAGATATAAGTGAGGTGTGGTTACTGGCCTCAGGAAACTCTCTTCTTTTTGGAGGAGTCTCTTCTGGAGTGTTCCACTGGAGTTTTCATCCCTCTTGCACCCATTACAAAGACGGAGCGCCCAATTAACCAGAAATAGACTTTAGAGCTTCATCTGAAGATATCGCGAAGCCCGGCTCCCACCCTGCCCCTTACACTTGGGCTCTCTGTGCACGTGGCACAGACCATAAAAGTTGAGTTAAGTCTGCAGCCTAGAGGATGCCCTGTGTGTGGTGTCAGATGTAATCTTTCACGTGGCACGTGTGTGCTGTGAGCATTGTGCTATTTGAGATGAATGGTTAGTATTTTGTGTTTCCATGAAAATAAATGTTTAAAGATGTCTCGGGGTTGATCAAGTTACTGTTCAGTAAAAGCAACCTCTCAGGGAAGAACAGCTGCTGGGCTGACGGCTCTATTTAAGGGCATATGAACCGACCATATGAGTTAGAAGGAAATGCCCGGAGCTGAGAGCAGCCTCCTGCCCAGTCCATGTCAGCTCTGAGGCTGTGTGCAGGGGTCCCTTCCAGCACTCCCCATAGTGCACCTGTTTGTGTTGTGTTGTTTTATTAAATCAATTTTATGTTTTGGTTTTCCATGTTCCTGCCTTTTATTTTTTAACAGCTCTTTTGAGATATTATTAACAAACCTTAAAGTTCACTCATTTAAAGTAATGATTCAGGCCCGGTGTGGTGGCTTACGCTTGTAGTCCCAGCACTTTGGGAGGACGAGTCATGTGGATCACTTGAGCTAAGGAGTTCGAGAGCAGCCTGGCCAACATGGTGAATCCCTGTCTCTACAAAAATAAAAAAAATTAGCCAGGCATGGTGGCATGTGCCTGTAGTCCCAGCTACTCAGGAGACTGAGGTGGGAGAATTGCCTGAACCCAGGATATTGAGGCTGCATTGAGTGGAGATCACGCCACTAAACTCCAGCCTGGGTGATGGAGTGAGACCTTGTCTCAAAAAAAAAAAAGTAATAATTCAAGGATGTTTAGTATATTTACACAGCTGTGCAATCATCGCCCCCATTAGTACCCCCAAAATAAACATTGTGCCCATTAGTCTCTCTCTCCCCACTCACCTCCTCCACCTGCCCTCAGCAGCTACTAATCTACATTTTTTTTTTTTTTTTTTGAGATGGAGTATTGCTCTGTTACTCAGGCTGGAGTGCAGTCGTGTGATCTTGGCTCACTGCAACCTCCACCTCCTGAGTTCAAGCAATTCTCCAGCCTCAGCCTCCTGAGTAGCTGGGATTATAGACATGTACCACTATGCCCAGCTAATTTTTGTATTTTTATTAGAGATGGGTTTTACCATCTTGGCCAGGCTTGTCTTGAACTTCTGACCTCGTGATCTACCACCTCGGCCTCCCAAAGTACTGGGATTACGGACATGAGCTACCACGATCTTGGCTCACTGCAACTTCTGCCTCTTGGGCTCAAACCGTTCCCCCACTTCAGCCTCCCTAGTAGCTGGGACTACAGGGTTGCACCACCATGCCTGGCTAATTTTTGTATTTTTGTAGAGATGCAGGTTTTGTCATGTTAGCCAGGCTGGTCTTGAACTCCTGAGCTCAAGTGATCCTTTCTCCTCAGCCTCCCAAAATGCTGGGATTACAAGTGTGAGCCACCATGCTGGCCCATTTTAATTTTGACAACATCCAATTATTTTCTCTTGTTGCTGGAACAATGCAACAAAGTTGCAGTAGTAAATATTTTTTGTGTGTGTGTGTGTGTGTTTAAATGCATGCTCTTTCATTCCCATCTAAAAGGAGTTACTGGGGAAAAAGTTATTTAACTCCAAAATGAAAGTGGGAAATCCACAGAGAAGTAATTACTTAGAACAAGGCTGTCCCTGGATCCCACATTCTTCAAAGGCAATGGCCAGACGTGCATGCCCTGTAAGAGTCACACTGTCCTGAGGGCTGCCCTACCCCACACTCACCAATGGGCTCGGGCCGGGCGTCCGCAGTCATTTGGAAGCTTGCATTCCTGACCAGGGTCTGGCAGTGGTGACGGACACTCACTGCTATGCACGGAGCCTTCAAACAGATTATATTTCAGGAAGCAGGGTTTTGAGACTCTCCCTGTATCGGGTATTTTGTTCCAGGAAGTCTTTGAGAACAAGCCATTCAGGATAAGGAAGGAATAAATTCAACAGATCGGCTACTTCCAGAAACCTCAAGGGGCCAATGGATTATGAGATAATTTTTTAAATCCCCATTTTCTGCAAGAAGCAATCAAAGATCTTTGCATTTGATTTAGTCCACTTTCTAGGGAAAGCATGCCTAGCAGCTCAAAGTTTTCAAGTTAGGTATCTGCGTTTCCATCTTGAGAAGCCATGAAATTCCTTGGCCATTTCCTCTTTCCCCCAGCGCCTCCATTTCACACAGGGCACAAAACATCACGATGGCAAAGCAAGAGGGGTTGGAGCCGGGTCCCCCACCAAGCTGAAACCACAGCAGTGCAGTCACGGGAGGGCTGCAGGCCCTTTATCCATGCAGCTGTGATTTCTGGCTCTAGGAAGGTCCTGTGTTATTTTCAGCATCAGATAAGACACAAGTGGGAAGAATAATTTCTTTCCTGGCAGGAAAATCCTAACGTGACCACAGCCACTGAAGTGCTTCCGGGAGGGTGCTTTAGTGCCTACTAACTCCGTTTAATGGAGTTGCCTCCTCTTTTTGAACTTTCCTTCCCACCAAAACAAAAGTCACCTGTAGATTTTCTAGGCAGCAAACCCTTCTAACAGGCATTCTTGACAATGTGCAGACAGGCGGGCTGAAGGACCTGTGAACCTGGGTAATCTTGACTGCCGGAGACTCGAGGCACCCATTCTTAGTAGGCAGCTGACGGATGCTGTACAGGATGGGCTCCCAGCAAATGGCTTTGGGTCCTTGAGCACCCAGGTTCTGATCCAGTTCTATGGGATTGGGAGGGCATGTCCTTGGGGCAGAGTGTGGTCTAATCTTCCCAGGTAATGCCAGTCACAGGACTAGGTAGGTTCTGTTTATGACAATTCCCTTGTGGCCCTCACCATGCATTAGGGGTGCTTTGATTTAGGAAATGTTTGCTGGGTCTCCATGTGTATTAGTCTGTTTTCAAGTTGCTGATAAAGACATGCCTGAGGCTGGATAATTTATAAAGAAAAAGAGGTTTAATAGACTCACAGTTCCACATGGGTGGGGAGGCCTCACAGTCATGGTGGGAGGCAAAAGGCACATCTTAGGTGGTGGCAGACAAGAGAGAATGAGAGTCAAGTGAAAGGAGAAACCTGTTATAAAACCATCAGCTCTCATGAGACTTATTTACTACCCGAGAACAGTGTGGGGGAAGCACCCCCATGATTCAGTTATCTTCCACTGGGTCCCTCTCACAACAGGTGGGAATTATGGGAGCTAGAATTCAAGATGGGATTTGAGTGGAGACATAGCCACACCGTATCAGTATATGAACAGAAGCAGATAAAATGTATCCCATCTAATGTAGATATTACAACCAACTATATGTATTGTATTTGTAAAGTAGCTTCATGAAAATCAGTCTAAATTAAATTCATATAAGCTACGTAAAGAAATACTACAAGGGGATGGATGTGGTGACTCACACCTGTAATCCCGGTACTTTGGGAAGCTGAGGCAGGCAGATTACTTGAGGTCAGGAGTTCAAGACCTGGTCAGTATGGCAAAACCTCATCTCTACTAAAAATAATTACAAAGATTAGTTGGATGTAGTGGCATGTATCTGTAATCCCTGCTACTTGGGAGGCTTAGGTGTGAGAATCACTTGAACCCAGAAGGTGGAGGTTGCTGTGAGTTGAGATCATGCCAGTGCACTCTAGCCTGGGTCACAGAGACTCAATCTCAAGAGAGAGAGAGAGAGAGAGAGAGAGAGAGAGAGAGAAGGAAAAAGGAAAAGAAAGAGAAAAGGGAGGGAGGAAGGAAGAGGAGAAAGAGTATAAGGAAGGAAAGAAAGGAGGGAAGGAGGGAAACAAGGAGGAAGGGAGGGAGGGAAGGAGAGGGAGGAAGGGAGGAAAGGAAGGAGGGAAGGCAGGCAGGCAGGCAGGCAGTCTACAAGGAACACACTGGAGCGTCCCGCTGCTGGCAGCAGGCGTGTGCCTTCTGGATGAGCTGTGGCATCAGCCTGGCTCCCCACCAGCTCCTTTGCCTTTCTAGTGGCTGCTACTACCTCAACCCCCTGCCACACAAGTGGAGTTTGAGGACGTTTTGGGATGTGTGGTCGGGGGAGGGAGATGTAAGTTAGAAAAAGACATCTAATACCACAGTGCTATATTTTGAAAATAAAAAAAGATTACAATATCTGTATTAGAAAATCAAGTTCCATTAAATCTCAGTCGTTGGTTTGAAAACTTTAAGAACCATTTCCTCATACTTTCCGGAAGCTTGTACTTCTTCCCTGCGATGCCGCCGGAGGGAGGGTGGGAGGGAAGGAAGGAAGAAAGGAAGGCAGGCAGGCTGGCTACAAGGAACACGCGGGACTGTCCCACTGCTGGCTGCAGGTGTGTGCCTTTCATCGAGTGTTGGTGACTCTGGGTTTCGATGTCAGACGCTGAACTCAGGAGTTCTGCTTTCGTCCCTTGATCTCTCCTCATCAGAGATTTTTGGTCCTTTCCTAAAAAGGTCCTTCCCTGCTTCCTTCCTGAATGCCGTAGACAAGTTGAGCAGAAGAAATCAGATTTCACAATATATGCGTTGACTTTTTTCCCACGCACTTTTGCTGTGGACCAGAGAGAGCCGGGGGTTGCAGAGGTGATTTCTGGAGTCCTGGCAGCTTTGGCGTTGGTGCCTGTGCTGTGGGAAGGCCAAGCTGACTGGGGGCCTTCGTTCCCTCCCCTGCAAAGCATGGATTCTGTGCTTACCGAGCCTGCTGGCTTCCCAGTCCTGTGCTTCAGAGGGTCCTGGGCAAGTGGGGATCCTCGGTGACAGATGCGGAAGTCGGCACTGGCTGAGGGCTCCACTCCACTGTCTCTCTGATGAAGCCGGCTTGGGAGGGGACACATAGTGTTTTGAAGACGTGGCCTGGCCGATTTGGGCAGGTCTTGTTGACCGTCACTGCATAGCTCTGAGCCCCAGAGGTCCTGGCTATCCATGGGCTGAAACACTAGCGCCAGCACGCCGCTGTGAGGGCACCATGGATGTTGCCTAGGACAGCACTCTTCCATCTGTAAAAGGCTCCATTATGACATGCATCTGTTATTGTCACACTTTACACAGTTCACACTCAGGTGTGCAAGATTAGGATTTGACTTTCCTGGAACTGAGTTTTGTCAGTATCTGGAGCACCCATTCTGAGTGATGGCAGAAAGAGTAGTCGAAGGGATTCAGATACCCTCCAACTCACCTGACTCCAAGCAGGATTTTCTTTGGCACCTCTTTCTCCCTGGCGTCAGCTCCAAGAGCAGGAGCCTTGGTGAGAAGACATCTGCTCTTGGCTCCAGCCAGCACGCGGGGTGGTCCTGTCATGGTCTCCGGTCGGAGGCTCCCCGGACTCCTGCTGTGAGGTCCCCCTGGCGCCTGCTGACGCTTCTACCCCACCCCCCTGTCCTAACCCGGAAGTGACGTTGTGGCCAGCAGGTTC